CATATACTTCTAAATGCCAGGAATGTTTAGACCTTTGCTCTCTTCTTGATGTCATTCGATGATTCCTTGGTCTTCTCTGAATAGGAATATCCTGATTATGAATCATCAACATGAGAAAGCACAAAGAAAGATGTGTGTGTGTGTGTGTGTGTGTGTGTGTGTGTGTGTGTTTGTGTGTGTGTGCATGTGTAAGTGAAGCTGAAAGGGAACTCAGGGCCCCAAAGCCCTGGTGTCAGGCTACCTGCCACTGGAATATCAGGTGTTCCATTCACAGATGCTATGTTACCTGTCAGCCTCAGAACTCTAACCCCAGAGAGCAGAGACCATGTCCCCTCCTCAACTTAAGGGCTTTGCAGCTTAGGATATAACTAAGGATAAGTTTGACAATGAAAGACCTCTGAGGGGATCAATGTAACTACCAATCAAACCATGTTTGCTGGGATGGGGAGGGTGAGTGGAAGCTTAAGGTGGGGGTGGGGGCAGGCTGGGGAGTGGTGCATGGTTTTCAGCTTCTTGGAAGTGGCGGATGGATGCAGTCTGGGGAAAACCTCTGAAGATGCTGGGGAATGAGATTTTAAAATAAGGCCATTAACCATAGACCTCGTAAGCAGAGACCCCAGTGACAGCACAAAATGGAAGGGTAAAAATGCTGAGTGGACTTAACCACAAGTTAAATCTGAAGCTGCTTTAGAAAGCAGTGGCCTGTGGAGCAACCACATAGAACATTAAAGAATCAGAGTGAGTGAGAAGATAGTTACTGGGCACTTACGTCTTTTAATGTTAATGTCTTTTTTTTTTTTTTTTTGAGATGGAGTTTTGTTCTTGTTACCCAGGCTGGAGTGCAATGGCGCGATCTCGGCTCACCGCAACCTCCGCCTCCTGGGTTCAGGCGACTCTCCTGCTTCAGCCTCCTGAGTAGCTGGGATTACAGGCACATGCCACCATGCCCAGCTGATTTTTTGTATTTTTAGTAGAGACGGGGTTTCACCATGTTGACCAGGATGGTCTCGATCTCTCGACCTCGTGATCCACCCGCCTCAGCCTCCCAAAGTGCTGGGATTACAGGCTTGAGTCACCGTGTCTGGCGGAGTTTAGCTCTTGTTACCCAGGCTGGAGGGCAATGGCGCGATCTTTTTGAGAGTTTTGCTAGATGAAAGGGTTCTGGATATTGGTTACACAATAATATGAATGTACTTAATACTACTGAACTATACAATTAAAATGGTTAATGTGCCAGTTTATACTCACTCAGGGTGAGGGGATTCACTCAGGGTGGTGGTAAAAATGTTAAAGAAAAAATATTAGAGAAAGTTATAGAATATAGTCTCAAACCCTTTTAGAAGGCCTAAAGGTTTTTTCTGTAGTTCTTGGCTGAAGTCCATCTTGTCCCCTTAGTTAAATAAATGAGAGTAGAAACAAAGGAACGTAAGGAGTTTACCTAACTAACTTGTTTACTCAAGCAGTCTTAACACTAACCTTTGAGCCAGATAACCCTCTCAGAAAGAAGTCAACCAAAGACGTTACCCTCTAATAGTGTGTTTGCTTTAGTCTCAGAACCTGTCCTTTAATCTTCAACCTCTAGTAGTATTGACTCAAGCCTTTATCAATGAAACATTACTGAATAAATGCAAGTCTCACTGGCTGATGAAGGCCAGCAGTCACAACTGTATATAGCACTCTCCAAAGAGTCTGTAAGCTGCCCAAACACTCAGCCAGACTAGCAAAGCATAATATTTGTGTGTCAGTGTACTTGATTCATCTGTCACTAATTCAAAGTCTACAAGACAGACCCCTGCAAGTAGTGACTCAGACAGTTAAGATGGTAAATATTATGTTATATTTTACAACAATACAAATATTTATAAACCAAACATGGTGGTACATGCCTGTAATCCCAGTTACTTGGGAGGCTGAGGCAGAAGGATCACTGAAGTCCAAGAGTTTTAGGCTGCAGTGTACTTTGATGATCTCGCCCGTGAATAGTTACCACACTCCAGCCTGGACAACTCTGTGTCTAAAAACAATACAATATTGTTTTTAATTTTAAATAAAAATGCAAAGGGTTTGTCCTCACAACCCTCCTTTGTAAGAGAAGTCAACAAAAAGTATCCATCTTACCCCTCTCTCCCTTCCTCCCACTTCCTCTACCCAAAGGCAAGCAATAGGCAGTCTTTTCTTTTACCAAACACACTCCTCCTAAGGACATTGTAAAACCACACATCCCCACCCTCTTGAAGTTGGAAATTGTTATGTGACTTGATCTGGCCAGTTAAATATCACTTTAGAGCTGATGCTTTAGAAACCAGGAAGTGAATCACCATCACCTCTCACCTTGCTTTGATAATCGTAGAAACTCAAAGATGGAGCCTCTCTCAGCCTGGGTCCCTGAGTGAGAATGAGATTAAAGCAAAGTCCTTCCCAGAAAACCCATGATAAACAGGTTGCACAGTAAGAGATAACCCTGTGTTGTTTTAAGCCCCGGAAAGCTGTGGTTGGGTGTTACCATGGCATAACCGTGCCTACCTGACTAGTATATTTGACATGGCTGGTATTGTTTGGGGTTGCCAAAAAGATTCTTCCCCCTCGCACCTTCTCTTGCTAACATACTGTATTTGCTAACGTAGGCTAACTATGAAAACATAAACTCCTCCATTACAATGGCTCAGATTCAGTAGAAGTTTATTTTTGTTCACATAATGGTAGAGAGCTGATGAATAGGTGAGCAGGGTGGCCTTCTTCCATGTAGTCATTCAGATTAGTGACTGCCAACTGGTGGGATCATTGACATATTCAATATGATGTGTCCAAGGTTGCCCTGGGGTTATCTCCCTTCCAGCCAACCAGAAGAGAAAAGGAACATGGAGGAACACGTAGGAGAGTTTGAGGGGCCAGCACCTAGAAGTGGAGCACATCACATCTGCTCATGCTTCGTTGTACAACAATGGTGTTATCAGACCACGCCTCGCTGCCAGGAGTTTCGGAAAGAACTCTGGCTGAGTGCATTGGAATAAGAGGAAAATGTGGATTTGGGGGAGCCGCCAGCAGCTTTCACCCCACAGACCCTGCCCCTTGGCATTCCACCAAAGGACTAGACATGTGCCCCAAACTAGGCCACTTGGAACTCTTCCCTAGGGGCTTTTCTGTGGATCTGACAGGAAGCTTTCTCTTGGCCTTGGGGTCAAGGTGCAGGAAAGATGTGAACTTGGAGCTATCAACAGCCTTTTCCCTTAGCAAGTGAGGAAGTACATCTGTTATCAGAAAAGATGAGGGAAAACACAGAGATTTGAGGCTGACAGAGGAAGAAATCCTGGTGGTATTGCTTGGGACCTAGATTCAGTACCTGATGCCAACCCCACCCCCTAGCCTTTCCTGTTATGTGACTCCTTTATTGTTTGACCTATGTTGATGGATGTCTGTCACTTAAAACTGAAAGAATACCGAGGCAGTTAGCTCCTGCAAAAATGATCTGTTGTGGAAAAGTGAACAAAGTTCTGTGGAGTGGCTCACTGTGTGCGAAAGGACTCTGGTGGAGGGAGAATCAGAAGAGCTGACGTCTCTTCTTGTCCCTGCCACTAACTGCCTATGTGGCCTGAAGTAGAGCAATTTACCTCTCAGGATCTCAGAGTTCACATCAGTAAAATGTGAGGCCCTGGGTCAGGTCTCAAAGGATCCTCTTGGCCATAAAAATCAAAGACTTTGTCTATACAGTTAGTGTCCTGACATAAATATTTCTTCCCAAAGAAGACACAGGGACCTATATCTAATGCTAGCTTCACTGTAAACACCATCCTCATCTCTCCTAAATTTTCTTGACAACAGCATAGAAGATCATATGTATATCAATGTCCTAAGACCTCTGTAATAAATTACTACAAACGTTGTGACTTTCGATAGCAGAAATGTATTCTCTCATAGTTCTGTAGGCCGGAAGTATGAAATCAAGGTGTTGGAGTGGGCATGCTCCCTCTCAAGGCTGCAGGGGAGAACCCGTTCGCCTCTCACAGCTGCTGGTGGCACTGGGTGTTTCTTGGCTTGTAGCTAAATCACTCCAATCTCTGCTGTTACCTCCACGTGGCCTTCCCCTCTGTGTATCTGTGTCTTCTCTTCTGTCTCTTGTAAGAATACTTGCTGTTGGACTTCTCGTCCACCCTGATAATCCAGGATAATCTTATCTCAAGATTCTTAAGTTCATTACCTCTGCAGAGATCCTATTTCAAATAAGGCCACATTCACAGGTTTTAAGGATTCGGATGTGAACATACATTCTCGTGGGGGTGGGGGAACCCTTCAGTCAGGAAAGTATGTGTGAAGATCATGTGAAAAAGCTCTAAAGGAGCTTTTTAAAATATATGTTATGAGCACCATCAATATGACCTAAAAGAAGACAGAAAATAAATTATCACCAGCTGAATATTCCCTTCCTCCACTCCGTCATGTTAATAGCCCACCTGTAGATAATTCCAGAGCTAAAGAAGTAGCCAGGTGGCTCTGTTTTTGTTGTTTTAAACACAAGATCTCCAAGTGGGCCATATCGCCCTTCCCATTGTTTGCTCCTTCCACATAAGTGCTAATGTGTTTCATTATATTCTGCTCCAAATTCCTCTACAACCACTAATCAGGAATACACAGAGAACTGACTGTGTCCAAACAGTTCTTTCCTCATGGTCTCATTCTTCTTGAATTCTAAATGCCTGTTGAAGAGAAGCATTAGAGTGCTCATTTTCTGAAAACAAGCTGGAGCGCAATCACCTTGTCTTTTCAAAGAAGCCATACTGTGTCTGGTTTTTCCATTCCAAAAATAACATAGAAATTCTTAGAGACAGTCATGTGGCAGAGAACCAAGAGCTGGAATGCAAAGCTTTTGTGTTTCTTGTGGAAGGCCTCTTGAGTACTTAAGTAGTTACATTCCGTCTTCACAGGAAGCTGAAGAGGGGCAAATGCAGTAAGGGGAGTGCTTAAAGCGGGCCTGGCATTTCTCTTCTGTGAAATGCCAAGTTTGGCCGTGTCCTGAAGAAGTCAGGGTGTCCTATGAGAGGTGCTGGCACTGCTGTAGTCTGTGAGGCTACCTGCAGAGAATCCATGTCTTCCCAAAAATCTAATCTCCAGCTGCCTACAACTTCCTTAAATTCCCAGGTGAACGCTGTTTTACTCCTCACCGCCCTCACGCTGCAGAATCACCCAACAGCCCAACATCGTTACTTTGCCTAGTGGTAAGTATGCGGATCAATTTTTTCCATTCCCTTTCCTACTGTAGTCTTTTTTTTTTTTTTGAGATGGAGTTTCGCTCTTGTTACCCAGGCTGGAGTGCAATGGCGTGATCTCGGCTCACCGCAACCTCCGCCTCCTGGGTTCAGGCAATTCTCCTGCCTCAGCCTCCTGAGTAGCTGGGATTACAGGCATATGCCACCATGCCCAGCTAATTTTTTGTATTTTTAGTAGAGACGGGGTTTCACCATGTTGACCAGGATGGTCTCGATCTGTCGACCTCGTGATCCACCCGCCTCAGCCTCCCAAAGTGCTGGGATTACAGGCGTGAGCCACCGAGCCCGGCCCTACTGTAGTCCTTCTGTCAGAGGCGTTTGAACCAAACCAACTGCATCTTGAATAGGGACTGGGTAAAATAAGGCTGAGACCTACTGGGCTGCATTTCCAGGAGGTTAAGCATTCTTAGTCACAGGATGAGACAGAAGGTCTGCACAAGATACAGTTCACGGGGGAGGTGGGGGAATGGAGAAAGGAAAAAAAAATTAAGAAAAAAAAGGCATACTTCACAAACACCATGCTGATGAAATATCATGAGGTAAAGAAGCCGGCCTAAACCCACCAAAACCCAGATGGCAACGAAAGTGACCTCTGGCTCGCCTCGCCGCTCATTATACACTAATTAGAGTATGCTAAAAGATACTCCCACCAGCGTCAGGACACTTTAAAAGTACCATGGCAATGTCAGGAAGTTATCCTATATGGTCCAAAATGGGGAGGAACCCTCAGTTCCAGGAGCTGTTCACCCCTTTCCTCGAAAATCCATGAATAATCTATTCCTTGTTTAGCATATAAAGAAGAAATAACTATAAGTATTAGCAGTGGGAACAGCCCAAGCGGCTACTCTGCCAATGGAGTAGCCATTCTTCATTCTTTTGCTTCTTAATAAACTTGTTTTCACTTTACTCTGTGGATTCTCCTCAGATTCTTTCTTGTGTGAGATCCAAGAACCCTCTCCTAGGGTCTAGATTGGAACTTCTTTCTGGTAATGTCTTCCAGGTGACCATGAAAGGACAGCGCTGAAGGGACCCTTGACCCGGAGGAAATAGACTACAGCACCCATTGGCCGACTTCAGGTAACTGTTGGGATACACTTTACCCAGGTACAGGATGGAATTGGGTTAGATGCCCAACTTAGAGGAGTTAGAGCTGCTCCTAAGACAGTGTGGGTAAAAGGACCCTCTTTTTTTTTTTTTTTTTTTTGAGACGGAGTTTCGCTCTTGTTACCCAGGCTGGAGTGCAATGGCGCGATCTCAGCTCACCGCAACCTCCGCCTCCTGGATTCAGGCGATTCTCCTGCCTCAGCCTCCTGAGTAGCTGGGATTACAGGCACGTGCCACCATGCCCAGCTAATGTTTTGTATTTTTAGTAGAGACGGGGTTTCACCATGTTGACCAGGATGGTCTCGATCTCTTGACCTCGTGATCCACCCGCCTCGGCCTCCCAAAGTGCTGGGATTACAGGCTTGAGCCACCGCGCCCGGCCAAAAGGACCCTGTTAATAAAACGTAAGGATGCTTGACCGAACTCACGTTCGAGGCCCAACTTAGGAAAGTTAGAGTTCTTTCTAAGATTTAGGGGATTAGAGGCCCCTGTCAGTAAAGCCCGCCTTGGTTAAAAATGGGATTGGCATTACAGGATGTTAACCACTATTCTCTTCGGATTAATTTGCCTTACACTCTTTGCTGATGGCTGTGCATGACAGGAGTAGGCATGGATAGGACATACGAGTCTTTTCCTCCCCAAAAGAGGAAACTTGAGAGCTGACAGAGCTGCTGGAAAAGATCCCTTCGCAACTGACAAGCAGCCACCTAGACTTTAGATTCAGCGTCACTGCAATGGGTCTTTCTCTGGCAACCTGAGTTCTTCACCTTCCCACCCTGGTGCAGACACTGCTTTTCTCCCTTTCTCTCCTTTCCCTTTCCTATCTTTTCTATTATTCAGGGTGACCATCTTCCCCAGAGACCACATGTTGAAACTCTTGGTCAGAGGTTGGATGAAAGATGACAGGGTCCATCCAGGAGCAAGTTTGAGCCTTGCCAGTTCCATTTTGGGTGCTGAGTGGAGTGGCTACTGTAGCGAACCTGGTATACTTTGTGCTATAAATTTGTCTTTCTGTATCACTCTGTCCTAAAGAGGAGTACCTTAGAATAAAACACGGGCTTAGGATCTCAGTAACAAACTTTGCTGCAGGTCCCTGAAACAAAAAAGAAAGCCGGATGAAGTTTCCCTCTCATCTTGTTTCATATTCTTGGGAACTTGACCTTGTAACCACATGGTGGTATTTTCTCTTGGTCTCCACCATCCAGCTGACAAGAAACTTGGAATTCGTGTCATAGTTTGCCCTAAAAATTATCTTGATCATTTAGAAGGCTTTGCAAGCACTAGACTCCACCTAGGAAAAACAATGGAAACCGCCAGGTGATGTAGCTTACGGGCTAAGGCTTTGTCTTTTCACAATGACAGCCTGAGTTCAGGGTTCAATTCCTGGCTTAGGGGATGAGTTCTTTCTGGTTTGATGTCTGTGTGACCTTTACCTTTTGTTGATTCTCTTCTCGTCCACAAACTGAAATTTTCCTTTCTCTGTGCACCTGGGAGATTACCTTTGGTAAAGTTCAAAACCCGTGTGCTTTAAAGAGAAAGATAAAAACTGACAAATGAAAAATCTCACAAGTATTGGATCTTCTTCTATGGATTTACATGTGTTGTGTGTGTGATGTTTATATAGGGAAGAACTCTGATTGATTAGCTTAAAGGTAATAAGTACTGAAATTAAATATTTTGTCTGAAAAATAAAAACAAATGCCTGCCCATGACTTTAGTAAGCTTTGGAAAATGAAGACAATTTCAAGAATAATTGGTTAAAAAAAAAAAAAGACATTTGGTATAAATTAGATAGGGTGTTAAATGCTTTGGGGTCATAAATTGCTTCTTTGACCTTTGAAAATTGTTCCTCTTATCTACTTTGGAGCCATTAGATTCTAGGTAAATCCTGGGGACACGTGGAGTTAGCCATGCCCTCTAGCCATGCTGGCAAGAGTCAGATCTTACCTGCATTTCTGTCTGGTGTCCTAGGCTCCACATCTAATACATAATTAAAATTCCTTACTTAACCAAGGTTTTCACCGAAAGTAAAAGTTGCTAAGAGTTAACATTGTAACATGTAATTGAAGACTACCGAAGAAACCGTTTGACATGCAGATTGTGTAAGGAAAGCAAAATGGGTTCCTGGTGAAAGATTATAAGAAGTCATGGAGATATGAATATTTTTTTTGGCCCATATTAAAGGGTTAAAGGATTGTTTTAAGTTAGATAGGATATAGCTGAAGGCTTAAGCAAGTTGTGGAAGGTTCGTGAAAAATTAATCTTGTAAAAGAAATTCTGGCCGGGTGCGGTGGCTCAAGCCTGTAATCCCAGCACTTTGGGAGGCCAAGGCAGGTGGATCATGAGGTCAAGAGATCGAGACCATCCTGGTCAACATGGTGAAACCCCATCTCTACTAAAAATACAAAAAATTAGCTGGGCATGGTGGCACGTGCCTGTAATCCCAGCTACTCAGGAGGCTGAGGCAGGAGAATTGTTTGAACCCAGGAGGCGGAGGTTGCAGTGAGCCGAGATTGCGCCATTGCACTCCAGCCTGGGTAACAAGAGCGAAACTCCGTCTCAAAAAAAAAAAAAAAGAAAGAAAAAAGAAAAAAAGAAATTCTGTGTGTGAACATTGGCTCAAGTTAAAGGTATTCAATTTTTCTGTAAATTGAACATTGCAATAAAAGCACAGCAGGTTTTTCTTAGAGCACTAATCTGTTCTTTCACAAAAATTGTAAAGGGTTATAAAAAGTTTTTGGTAATCTTATCCGATGGTCAAACTAATTAAAATTAGATAGATGGGTCCGTGAGGTGTTTTGTTTTGTTTTTTGAGAAAGAAAAAAAGAATAATAAGAAAATTAATAAAGAAGAGGAAGAAAGAGGAAGAGGGAGAGAGAATGGGGGTATTGCTTTATTGCCTGGGCTAGAATGCAGTCTAAATATGGGTATGCCTATAATTGTCCTTAATAATGGAGACATGAAAGAAAATGAGGGAAGAGAATAACAAATAAGGAGCCAACCAACATTTCGTTTAAACTTCTAAGTTGATAATGATGTGGTACTGATAAGAATGTATATTTTGTGTATTTAAAGTGGAGAGTTCTATAAACGTTAATTACGTTTACTTGTTCCAGACCCGAGTTCAAGTCCTGGATATCGTTGTTAATTTTCTGTCTCATTGATCTGTCTAATATTGATGTTGAAGTCTCCCACTATTATTGTGTGGGAGTCTAAGTCTCTTTATTAGTCTTGTATGTCTGGGTATTCCTGTATTGGGTGCGTATATATTTAGGATCTTTAGCTCTTCTTGTTGTTGCATTGATCCTTTTATCATTATATAATGTCCTTCTTTGCTTCTTTTGATCTTTGTTGCTTTAACGACTATTTTATCAGAGGCAAAAAAAGTAACTTCTGCTTTTTATTTATTTATTTTAGCTCTGTGTTTGGTTGGTAAATCTTTTTCCATCCCTTGTTTTGAGTCTTTGTGTATCCTTGAATGTGAGATGGGTCTGGATGCAGCATACTGATGGGTTTTAGTTTTTTATCCAAATTGCCTGTCTGCCTTTGGATTGGGGGATTTAGGCAATTTAAATTTAGAATTAATAATGATATATGTGAGTTTAATACTGCCGTTTGATATTAGCTGGCTATTTTGCTCATTAGTTGATGTAAATTCTTCATTATATTGATGCTCTTTACTTTTTGGTATTTTTTAGAAAGGCTGATACTGTTTGTTCCTTTCTTTCTTTTTTTTTTTTTTCTGTTTTTTTTTCTGTTTGTTCCTTTCCAGGTGTAGTGGTTCTTTCAGAAGCTCTTGTAAAGCAGGCCTGGTGGTGATGAAATCTCTGAGTGCTTGCTTGTTCACAAAAAAACTTTATTTTTCCTTCACTTATGAAGCTTAGTTTGGCTGGATGTGAAATTCTTGGTTGAAAGTTCTTTTCTTTCTTTCTTTTTTTTTTTTTTTTTTTTTTTGAGACGGAGTTTCGCTCTTGCTACCCAGGCTGGAGTGCAATGGCGCGATCTCGGCTCACCGCAACCTCCGCCTCCTGGGTTCAGGCAATTCTCCTGCCTCAGCCTCCTGAGTAGCTGGGATTACAGGCACGTGCCACCATGCCCAGCTAATTTTTTGTATTTTTAGTAGAGATGGGGTTTCACGATGTTGACCAGGATGGTCTCAATCTCTTGACCTTGTGATCCACTCGCCTTGGCCTCCCAAAGTGCTGGGATTACAGGCTTGAGCCACCGCGCCCGGCCTCTCCTTTACTTTCTTAATGAACTCACTTTCATTTTATGGATTCACTTCAAATTGTTGTGGTGGTCTGGAACCGAACCCTCAATATCTTCAAGGGATGCCTGTATCTTGAAGGTCGTGCCTACGGATGGATTTTTTTATGTGCCAGAATTTTCATTTGCTCAAACTGTTAAGTGTTTTTTCTTCAAACTTGGTGGTTTTGTGAAGTCACCACAACAAAAATGTTTCTGTGATTGGTCCATGCAGAGAGCTGAGAAAAGTCATTTACAGATCCCCTTGCACAATCCAAAGCTCCTGACCACCCAAAGCACAAAGAATGGGTCCCATGTGAAAGAGAGCTGCTTTAAGGGGGCCAAGTGGAACCGACAGTGTGATTCCCATGCTCCTGTGCAGGATGGGAGCCATCGCATTTGCTGGTAGCTGGTTGTATGCTCTTTGATTTGACCCAGTATCTGTTGTAGAAGAGGAAATGTCCCCTTTAAGACCCTCCTTTCAACCCTCGGAAGGCCCAAAGACAAGTTAATATGTGTTGATCAGTCTTCTCCAGCCAGGCAATTTAAGATCAGGGTCCTTTCAAGAAGATGTCCCGCTCCAATTGTCCCTGGCCCCTAGACAACCTTTTGCTTCAGATCCTTTTGGTAGTGGATGGTGTCTTTTCATTCTCCCTGCACTGCCCAGAGCCTCATATGAGATGGAGGATCAGGCCCTTTAAAGTGTGCAGGGCAGAACAAAATGCCCAAATCTAGCCTCACATTGAACTTTTCTTAATGACTACTGATGTGCAAAACACTGATTAAACAAAATTAGAAAACAAAACAAAACAAAAGGTCTCTGTTCTGGATTTTGCATGAAAATGTTTTTGTCCACATTATTGAAGGCGGCAGAAGAAAAATATTGCTATGGTTTTCCACTCCCATAAACATATCTGCTCTGGTTCCAAATCAGAAATGCTTTTCTCTTATCACTTCCGCTACTGGGAAGATAACAAAGCAATTTAGGGCCTACTAGAGAAAGTAGACTTGACCTTGGCACAAATCTCTTTGTGAAGAAACACAGAGGCTGAGCTTTCTCTGAGCAGTGTCTTTGAATATCTTAGTTGACAGTATGATCAAAGCATTGCAAGGCTGCCAGTTCCAAGACAACTATGAGACTCAGGGGGTTTGCCTCACAGACTGTGCATGAGTGTGGGCCAATACAATGTGCAGGAAAGTGAACTAGCTCACAGAAGCTGAATTTAAGGCTTGCAAGACCCAGGGAAGGGATCGAGGTAAGGAGTATGCACAGCGTTTCATAGACAAGTCCCTGAGGCAAAGTGAGGTACTTCTTGTCAAAGGTATTGCTGTGGAAAATAATAGACAGGGAGTATTGCAGTGTTTGCAATCCATCTGATGACCTAAAACCTTGCCTTGGAACAATGTCTGGTTGTCTGGGAGCTATGTACCAGGACTGCACTCTCCTGGCCACTCCTGGCCATTCCTTAATTACCTTTACAACTGGGTTACTCCTTTGAGAGACACATTCAGAGCAAACGTCTTGAAACCACCTATTGTTTTTATTGCAGGAGTGATTTTGAAGGTATTGTCCTTTTTATGTCACATAAGGGCCTCCTGGGAGCAATAAGAACAGAGATTCTGGGAAAGGTTCTACTTCTGGATAGCTGGGTTTTTTTAAATTTTATTTTAATGACTGTGTGGTTCTTGGTATTGATGCCATTGTTTACTTTGGTTTCAGCTGCTGAGAAACTCAGAGTCAAACCTGAATCCTACCACTGCAAAGAGCACAAGACCCTGAGGCAAGCGCTGTATATACCCAAGTCATCCCTGGTGCCACCTTCATTTACTGCACCAGGTTTTCTTCATTGTGATGATGTTCCCTCTCTCTCTCTCTCTCTCTCTCTTTTTTTTAATCCTGTTTTACTCTGCACATTTCTACAAGCCACAAAACTACTTCTTGAAGGATGAATAACATATAAACAAGTGAACAAACAGGTAATTGATAGAAATAACTTGTTTTAAAATACTTTTACCTCCTTTTTGGAGTTGGGAAAGGCGTAATCTTGCCTTATCTGTCTTTAAATGGCTGTGTTTGCAAACCATCATCTACTAGGTTGAGTGAAGAACGTGTTTTTAAGGGACCATTGGTATTTTTAATTTCTGATGAAGGTGACAATTGGCCTTCTTCCAAGTGATGTGCCATGAAGAACTTCTACTGAGTTCTACAACAGCATTCTGGGAGTGTTTCCCAAGACAAAGCTGACTTCTAGGTAGCTATGGGGAGTGCCCACAAGCCTGGGCTGCAGTGAAAGTCAGCAGGATGGACTGGAAGAGCCAGAAGTCTGTGTGGGAAGTGTCAGCCCCTTCCTGCTGCTTCCTTCCCTTGGTTGGGGTAAATGCTCCACTTCTTCCTCTGGGCCTCAGTTTTTTCATCAGAAAAATTAGAAGAGATGCTTACTGGTTAGGCCTGCTTAGGAAGAGAGAAAGACAAGTATAGAACTTGCCCTGGAAGAGCAACCCAAGCCCAGCTGACCCACATGGAAGGGCAACTCTCCCTACTTCCAAATCTTTCCCTTTCTTCCTTTCTTTCTTGCTTGCCTTCCTTCCTTCCTTCTTTCTTTCTTTCTCTTTCCTTTCTTCTTCTTTCTTCCTTCCTTTCTTTCTTTTCTTTCTCTCTTTCCTTCTTTTCTTTTCCTTTCTTTCTTTCTTTCTTTCTTTCTTTCTTTCTTTCTTTCTTTCTTTCTTTCTTTCTTCTTTCTTTCTTGATGGAGTCTTGCTCTGTTGCCCAGTATCCATTCAACTGTAGATGAACACCTGGGCTGTTCTCACCTTTTGGCTATTATGAATAATGCTGCTATGAACCCAATGGGTGTACAACTATCTGTTTGAATCCTGTTTTCAATTTTTTGGGATAGATGCCTAGAAATTAAATTGCTCTTCTCCTGCCTCAGCCTCCCAAGTAGCTGAGATTACAGGTGTGTGCCATCACAACTGGCTAATCTTTTATATTTTTGGTAGAGACAGGTTTTCACCATGTTGGACAAGCTGGTCTCGAACTCCTGACCTCAAGTAATCTGCCCACCTTGGCCTCCCAAAGTGCTGGGATTATAGGTGTGAGCCACTGCGCCTGGCCCCATGACCATTTTTTAAAGCATCTTTATTGCTGAAAATCTTTTGCAGCCACCAGAGTAGAGAGGACAGGAAAAAAGTCTCATGTACCCATCACGCAGCTTCGACCATTACCAACTGATGGCCAAACTTGTTCCCTCTATACTCTAGTCCCTCCACCACTAGAGCTCTTTAAAGCAAACTGAAAACATCATCATCATTTCACTCATAAATATTTTAAAGTCTAATTCTAGCAGAAATGATTTAGATGCTTCTTAAAGAGTAAGATGCCTAAGTGAGTGCCTAATTATTAAACACCAATATGGTTAAATACTCATTGAATAATTAGTCATCATTCTTTGAAACTTTGTTTAAAATTGCAGCCTTTATGGCCGGGCGTGGTGGCTCACGCCTGTAATCCCAGCACTCTGGGAGGCCAAGGCGAGTGGATCACAAGGTGAAGAGATCAAGACCATCCTGGTCAACATGGTGAAACCCCATCTCTACTAAAAATACAAAAAATTAGCTGGGCATGGTGGCGCATGCCTGTAATCCCAGCTACTCAGGAAGCTGAGGCAGGAGAATTGCCTGAACCCAGAAGGCGGAGGTTGCCGTGAGCCAAGATCGCGCCATTGCACTCCAGCCTGGGTAACAAGAGCGAAACTCCATCTTAAAAAAAAAAAAAAAAAAAAAAATTGCAGCCTTTTCAATAAATATTTTATTATTTTCAAACATGCTACAGACTAGAGAAAACTGAACAAAGAATCCCAATGTGCCATCACCCAGCTTCAAATTCTAGCCATAGCAAAATAATATTCTCTTTAAAAATGTAAGTGCTAAGTCGCTCAAATGATACAGTGACACTTTATTCCTCTGTAGGAGAGGACAGGGACTGGAATGGAAGTGACAACAGGGAGAACCTTTTAATTCTGGAAAGGTATATTACTCACCACTAAAAGCACATATTTTCAAATGACTGAATCTTTGGCATAAATGCTCATAAATATCAGTCTGAGTTCTCAGCCACAATGCGAGTTGTGGTTTACCTGAGTTCACTTGTCTTTCCTGTCTGGCCCAAGTCTGGGTCACTTTCAGCTTTCCCAAGCTAGATAGTTATTTACAGAAAGAACAGGTTGACATTAAACTAGGGAGAGTGACTCAGAAGTCATCTCTCCTTTTATCATAAGCACAGAAAATGTGCTTATGATTTGATGTTGTCACAAATTGCTGTTGTACAGACAGGTGTCCAACTTTTTATTTAATTAGGAATTTGTACAAATAATTTTATAGACAGAGGCATTTCCCAGTTAGTTTGTTAATTATTTCATCCCTTGGCTTTTATTGCACAGCAAATCACTCCCAAAATTTAGTGGCTTAAAATTCTTTCATCATCATGATGAACGAGTTTTCCTTGTTAGATATCAAAACCTATTTATATGTCATTGATTCTAAGCCATTTTATTATCTTTGAAATGGGGCTGCCTCTAGCAATCTATGACATTGTATAATTTGTTGTTCACCAGCAATCGTCATGACATTTGTTGCTGCCTTGACAAAAACGAATTTCATTATGGCTGTTTACATTATCATAACTTCAATTCAATTGTGTGCATTATTATATTGCGTTAAGCAATCTTCAAAAAGATTACACTACAATTCTTCATGGAAACGAGAAGTTATTGTTTATCTAGAAAGGTGCTGAAACAGATCAGTTGGGTAGAAAGTTGTTATTTGTGAAACAAATATTCATTGTTGGAGAAATGACCTTGATTAAATAGCTATTTGCCTTACAGAGTTTTGCTTTATGAGACTCAAGAAAGAATTAGATGACATTGTGTTACATTTTGTAACGGAGATGCATACAAAAGAATTGTCCAACACATACTAAGGCACTTCTCAAAATGGGAGTCAGAGCTTGACAAAAAATATCTGTAATCAATAGTTCCGAATTGAGAAATGTTACATCACAAATGCTCTTGATGGCCGCAAGTAGCAGAAAACTTAAAATAACATCAGTTCAACAAGCTATAAGTTCATATTTCAGTGATATAAAAGAATTTCAGAGGTAGCCTGTACAGGATTGTCAGATAGCTTCACAAAGTTATTGGGGATGTAGGTTTATTTCATGTTGCTGCTCTGCTATTCTCTACACATCACTCCACCTCATGATGTAACATCGCTGCTTCAGATCCAGACATCACGTCCACATTCTAGATAGCTGATTGATGAAGAAATGAAGAGAGAGAAAGGGGTAGATACCAACTGACTTTTTAGAGAACTTCCCAGAAGTTGTCACACAATATCTACTCTAATTAATTGATCAGAACTCCTAGTTATAAGGATTGCTAATACAGCAATCCCATTACTGGGTATATATCCAAAGGATTATAAATCATTCTACTATAAGGACACGTGCACACGAATGTTCATTGCAGCACTGTTTACAATAGCAAAGACCTGGAACCAACCCAAATGCCCAACGATGATAGACTGGATAGGGAAAATGTGGTACATATACACCATGGAATATTACGCAGCCATCAAAAACGATGAGTTCACGTCCTTTGCAGGGACATGGATGAACCTGGAAACCATCATTCTCAGCAAACTGACACAAGAGCAGAAAATCAAACACCGTATATTCTCACTCATAGGCGGGTGTTGAACAATGAGAACACATGGACACAGGGAGGGGAGCACTGCACACCGGGGTCCGTTGGGGGGAAATGGCGGAGGGGTGGGGAGGTGGGGAGGTGGGAAGAGATAGCATGGGGAGAAATGACAGATACAGGTGAGAGGACGGAAGGCAGCAAACCACACTGCCAAGTGTGTACCTATGCAACAATCTTGCATGTTCATCACATGTACCCCAAAACCTAAAATGCAATTAAAAAAAAAAAAAAGGATTGCTAATAAATGGATTATTTATTCAGGTAGCCATGTGTATTAGTCTGTTCTCATGCTGCTAACAGGGACAAACCTAAGACTGGATAATTTATAAAGAAAAGAGGTTTAATGGACTCACTGCTCCGCATGGCTGGGGAGGCTTCACAATCATGGCTGAAGGCACATGAGGAGCAAAGTCACATCTTACATGACAGCAGGCAAGAGAGCATGCGTAGGGAATTCCCCTTTATAAAACCATCAGATCTCATAAGACTTATTTACTATCAAGAGAACAGCACAGAAAAGACCTGCCCCCATGATTCAATTACCTCCCACTGGGTCCTTCCATGACAAGTGGGGATTATTACAATTGAAGGCGAGATTTGGGTCGGGACACAGAGCCAAACCATATCATCATGAACGTAACAAAAAATCAGAAGTTCCTGCCAGGCACGGTGGTTCGCACCTGTAATCTCAGCACTTTGGGAGGCTGAGGCCGGTGGATTACTTGAGGTCCGAAGTTCGAGACCAGCCTGACCAATATGATGAAACCCCTTCTCTACTAAAATTACAAAAATTTGCTGGACGTGATGACGTGCCCCTATAGTCTCAGCTACTCAGGAGGCTGAGACAGGAGAATCACTTGAACCCAGAATGCGGAGGTTGCAATGAACTAAGATCATGCCACTGCACTCCAGCCTAGGTGACAGAGCAAGACTCCATCTCAAAAAAAAAAAAAAAAAAAATCCAAAGTTCCATTACTGACAAAAAATAGAAGAATGGGTTTGGAAAACCAGCAGTCTCAACCACATGAAAGTTTTCAAGTTTGTTGGTACAAAACTGTAGCAGTCTTTTTATTTTTAAAATCTCAATTGTATGAGTAATTATTTTTAATGCTTTGGTCCTAATATTTTATATTAGTGTCCTTTATGTCTTTTCTTCATCAGTCAGCCTAGCATTTTGTCTGTTTCATATTTTTTGTTAAAGTAACACATTTTAGTATTGTTAAACTTCTTTATTAATTCTTTCTGGTTTTTGCATTTTTCCTTTATTATTTCATTTTATTTGCTTACTTTAAGTTATTCTGTAGTTCTTCTAGCTTCTTGAATTGGATACATAACTCATTTATTTTCAAACTTGTTTTTCAAAAACAACAAGGAATTAGACTATGAAATAATGAAAAAATATATATTTGGTCTCTGTCTTCTGGTTCCTGGTACAGAGCTTCTAATCCTTTGGAATTTCCTGGGTGATAGGAGTATCTTTTGTTTTAGTGAAGTGACTCCTAGTGAGCTTTTGGATGGCAGCTGGTCACCAGAAAGACCAAGCATAATTAGAAGCATGGAACTTTCAGCCTCAACCTCCATCCTCCAGGAAAGAAAGAGGGGATGGAGACTGAGTTAATAGTCATGCCTACCTGATAAAGCCACTGTAAAAATCCCTGAATGGGATTCTGAGAGCTTCTAAGTTTTGGAACACGTGGAGGTGCCTGGAGGATGGAGCAGCCAGAGAACGTATGGAAGCTCCACGCCCCTTCCCACCTGACTTGCCCTATGCATCTCCAGAAGACACCTGACTGTCCATCTGCATCCTTTGTAATATCC